TATATATCAAAACCGGTCTTTTTAAGGTCTTGTATACAGATCACGACATTGTTTTATTGATCATATAACACAATGGCAACCGCTATGACATGTTACACGTTTCCACCTCTATATTCATTTCACAGTTGGTACGAATTGTCGTAATTGTCACATTGATATTAAAAATTTCAAACGAAGTTTTGACAGCAGGTTACAAGAGTTAAAAATAACATTAAACATTTTCAAACTTCGGGATGTGTAAACAGTTGTAAAACGTGTCACGAAGGTAATGAACCACGTGTTAGACCTGTCGATGAGGAGCGTCAAAACAGGGATTTTGATATTTGTGCTTTTGTTGAAGCTAGCGAACCCTGCAATAGTGTACAAATGACTAGGGAAGTTAACGTGAATGCTCGAATTGTCCAGCGAGTTCTCAAAAGGAATGGGTATCACTGTTTTAAGATACAACCAACACAGGAACTGTTTCCGGAAGATAACTTTAGGCGGATGGAGTTTTGTGAATTTATGTTAGATAAATAGAATGAAAATTTACCGGGTGGTCCAATAAGCCGATCTCTCGACTATATATCAGAAACTATTCATTTTATAACTTTAGGAGAAAAAATTCCTTAGTAAAAGTGGCCAAGAGAAATCGCTGGAAATAACTTTCAAGATTCTGGATTAACTGCTAGGGGACGTAACCTGCGAAGAAAATTTTGAAAACCAGTTTTTTTGGGAAATATGTCCAATTATATCAAGTGTTAAATAAGTAAACTAGAAAGGGGCATAAATTCTGCACAAAGTTGTTCAAGTACTTTTTTTTTATTTTTTCAAATAAAGGGTGGGGGAGAGTGGGAAAGTATTTGTGGATAAATACCTATAACTTTGGTTTGGATCAACCGATTTTAACAAAATTAGTGTCATTAGAAAGAGTATGGATGAATTAATTTACATCTACTATAAAATAATTTCATTTAGCTTTAATTGTCGTAGGTAGAGGGTACTTTCGAATAGAAAAAATTAAAATTTGTTTTTCTTCAAAATTTTTAATGGAAACACCTATTTATTGTAAACTATAATGGAATTGGATTAAATTCGTAACAAAATGGCGCAAACTGCATGTTAATAGCTTTTATCGAACTCGAGATATGAATAAAAACGCATAAACATAAGTAAGTATAGTATTGACACACCCTGTATTATAAAATAAATTAAAAAATAAGTCAGTAGGTACTTTCAAAATTTTTTATAGCAGAAAACTCTTAATGTTAATACCTATTTTGACCATTGTTATTTCATATGATTAAAAATTGTTTTTTCGAAACTAAGTAGGCTACGACAATGAATTGGACAGGGAGTTCATATTGTTTATTTATTGACAGCAGTCAAAATATTGTTAAGAAGTGTTATATGTATTTTAATTCGAATTGAAAATTGCATTTTTTTCAATAGATATTAATATTGGTAATATTAGTAATTAATTATCAGTACTAATAATTCGTGATGAGTATATCAAATTGTATGATATGATTGGAGTTTATTTCGAATATCACCAAAATGGCGCTATTGCCTCACGTATATAATCTGTAAGATATCCTGGCAGGAGATATTGTGGCAAAGAAGTAGAGATTTCGGACTACTTATATGTGGATTCTGTTGAATTAAAGCAAGAACATTGATTGAATTATCTTCGGTCATAACTCTACTACGTCGTTTAAAACAAAGACGAGAAAAACTACCAGTTTCTCTTAATCTTTTTGCCTTTCTTTCAAATACTTCTTTCCCATAATGTGTCCTGTCACGATATCTTCCAAAATATATACGTGAGGCAATAGCGTCATTTTGGTGACATTCGAAATAAACTCCAATCATATCATACAATTTGATATACTCATCACGAATTATTTGTACTGATAATTAATTACTAATATTACCAATATTAATATCTATTGAAAAAAAGTGCAATCTTTAATTCGAATTATAATATAGCACTTCTTAACAATGTTTTGACTGCTGTCAATAAATAAACAATATGAACTCCCCGTCAAATTCATTGTCGTAGCCTACTTAGTTTCGAAAAAACTATTTTTTTACAAAATAGGTATCAACATTAAGATTCTTCTGCTATAAAAAAATTTGAAAATACCTACTGACTTATTTTTTTAATGTAATTTATAATACAGGGTGTGTCAATACTATACTTACTTATGTTTATGAGTTTTTATTCATATCTCGAGATCAACAAAAGCTATTAACATGCGGTTTGCTCCATTTTGTTACGAATTTATTCCAGTTCTATTATAATTTACAATAAATAGGTGTTTCCATTAAAAATTTTGTGGAAAAACAAATTTTAATTTTTTTTATTTGAATGTCCCCTCTACCTACAACTGTGAAAACTAAATGCAAGTATTTTATAGTAGATGTGAATTAATTCATTCACACTCTTTCTAATGACACTAATTTTGTTAAAATCGGTTGATCCAAACCAAAGTTATAGGTATTTATCCACAAATACTTTCCCACTCTCCCCCAACCTTCATTTGAAAAAATAAAAAAAAGTACTTGAACAACTTTGTGCAGAATTTATGCCCCTTTCTAGTTTACTTATTTAACACTTGATATAATTGGACATATTTCCCAAAAAACTGGTTTTCAAAATTTTCCCCCTAGCAGTTACGCCCCCTAGCAGTTAATCCAAAATCTTGAAAGTTATTTCCAGCGATTTCTCTTGGCCACTTTTACTAAGGAATTTTTTCTCCTAAAGTTATAAAATAAATAGTTTCTGATATATAGCCGAGAGATCGGCTTATTGGACCACCCGGTACACTTTTTAAAAACACAATCCATCCGTTGCAAGGTATTATTCTCGGAAAAATAAGCACCTCAGTGTTGCATTACGAACGCAGCATCCGCAAAAGTTAAATGTTTGGACTGGGATGTAAGGCGACCATATTGTCGGTCCATTTTTTATCGATGTAAACCTAAACGAGACCAAATATTTACAACTTTTACAGAATGAGATCATTCCCGCAGTTCGACGCCTTCTCGTTAATTTTCAGGAGGTTTATTTCAAAATACGAATTCTGGATATAATGTTTAGCTCTTACATAAATACCTCGAAAAGGAAAAATTTTTCGAAAAATTACCTAGAGAGAAAAAGTGTTTATTTGAATGAGATACGCCTAAAAAATTGATTCCGAAACGATTCAGTGAAATTGGATTTTTTTTGTTATTTGCTAATCACAATTGATGGCCTACTTTGAAATATTAAAAAACAATTCATCTAAACTTTAAAAAATATAAAGAATCGAGTAAAAAACGTTTGGTGCATTAGAAATGCAAAGAAATAGTCGGTATATTCCGTTACTAAGCGTCTTTTTAGGCACAAACCTCTTGCTTATAAAAATAACCGTTTTTGATACCAGCTGTAAACACTGAACATATTTTAGATTTCAAAGAGGTCGTTTAGTGTCATAGACCTATCCACTCTGCGACCTGAACAATCTTTTGTGTACCAAACATCGATAATTTTTCCAAAAAATCGGTCTATTTATTATCAATTTCGAAGTTTATTCAGGTTCTGTCCAGTTTGCTCATTTGACAGATATTATATTTGAATGAGCAGTGTTCAGTGAGAACATCATCATCATCTTTGGCTCTATAACACTGGATGGGTCTTGGCCTGTTCAAGAATTAGTCTCCATTCCCCCCTATCTTTCCAATTTCTGACCTCTAGATTCCTCAAGTCATCTTCGACTTGAGTTTTGAATCTAGATCTTGGCCTGCCTCTCTTCCTGGTTCCTACTGGCTCTTGATAAAATATCTGTCTTTGGAGGTCTCCAGTGTCCATTCTTTCAAGGTGTCCTAGCTACCTTAGTCTATTAATTTTAATAGACTGGACGATGATGTTGCATTTTTCATACAATTGATAAAATTCAAAATTGTAGCGCCTGCGCCATATCCCGCTTTCTTGTACTCCTCCGTATATGTGTCTAAGTATTCGTCTTTCAAAGCGGCCTAACAGTTCTTCATCGCTTTTTACCATAGTTCATGTCTCTGACGCGTATGTCAGGACAGGTTTAATAAGAGTTTCATATATTAGTATCTTGTTTTTTCTGCTAATTATGTGTGATGTTAAGAACTGCTTTAGTCCAAAGTAAGCTCTGTTCGCCAGGTATATTCTTCTTTTAATTTCTACGCTTACTAGGTTGCTGTTATTTAGTTGTGTTCCAAGATATATAAACTCCGAAACCCCTTAGAATGTGTGTGCTTCTGTCACCAGATCTTGTGGTGCCGCTATTTGTGTGCTGTTCGTGACCTTCATGTATTTTGTTTTGGATACGTTAACCTGCAGTTCCATTGTCTTCGCGGCTTTTTCTAATATTTCAAAAGCCTGTATCAGGTCTCGTTTTGTCCGTGTTACTATGTCAATGTCACTGCGTGGGCCAATATCTGTACACTTCTATTGATGATCGTACCTCTGGTTGTTATGCCCGATTTCTCTATTATTATAGATTGTTGCTCAGATATTAATCACAGATATTCAGTGAGAACATCTGTGATTAACATCTGAGTTCAGTTTTTTGAAGATTTAAGAATATTTTGTACACCGAGCAGAAAGTTATATCTTTTTTGACTAGCAAATCAGCCATCATTTTACCAACAATTCCTTCATGTCCTAGTATCCACAATAAAATTATTTTGTTGTGTTTGATACTGAAAATAATGTTTTCATTTTCAAGTTGTTCCGCAAGTTGTACACTTCAAAGTTTTTAGTGCAACTTGGTAGTCGTTTGTTGTTTGGTGAAAAACTTTAGTTGGTACAGCCCTTTCATCTATATCTAGTAAATTAAAAACTTAATTTCTGTTTTGCAGCCTATCAAATATGTTGAGCAACCTGTATAACTATATTTTTGTATCAAACACGGTTCGTCAAATATAGTATTAATAGATTATTTGAACACGACAAAAAACGAACTGTTAAATTAATAACATTGACCGTCCAAGGTGGTACCTACCAATGACTGCCTTTTCCACGTTTCTATGTTCTTTCTCTGAGCTTTGGTGAAATGGTCCCATACTTTCTTGTGACACGCCGCAGAGAACAATCGTTCGATTTGACCGACTAACGGCACACGCAAAGAGTTTGGATTAAACACCAGCATTAAATACCATTATTAATATTAACTACAGTCTAGTGAAATATTACAAATTCCCCGTACCTCTTCCTCATTCGTGTACCTCACGTAGAAAGGCGTTTTTAAATATGCATTCATTTACTATACAATATAATTTTATTTGTCTTGTATCAGCTGTATAAACATAAGAAAGTCACCAGTCTTTCTTTATTCTTACATCTAACTAATTAATGGTAAATGTCCCGATATTAGCCCTAGAGTAGCCTTTTAGATGCGTCTTATAGCGGCCTCTATACGTAAAATAAAAAATTGTTTTACAAGATTTAACCTTCATATACAGCGTAGGAACAAGAAGAACTGAACATAATAATATAAGAGTTCTTGACCACGGCGCAGTAGACGAAATTTGGTTTAGTCCCCACCTCCACGCGAAACGCACTGTACTATGCAACGTGAAAATATCGACTTGAAAATTTTTAGTTGTGTTTTTGACTTTGAGGTGTTAACTTCAATAAGTTTGTGTATTTTCTCCCGTTTACCTGTTGCGTATTCAAATTTATTAAAAGCGGTCAAAAGGTAGGTACTTTATCATAAATTAAAATACATAGGGGTGCATTAAGGAAATTTTAATAAAATTTTTTCATTTCTTTTTTGTTTTGAGACTGGTGCAAAACAAAAATTACTTGCAGTCTGTTTCAATTAATTGGTTAATATTTGATATTGTAAAATCTTTTTTTTAAACTACTTCATATGTTACGATTTACGTTGATTTGAGTTTACATTTTTTTTTTAAATCTTTGTTTTATATACCGTGTTCTTTTTAACATAAAATTTTTCATTTTTAATACTTTTTTAACATAAAAAATAATTTTTGTTGATAAAAATAGACAATTTCAATACTTATTTTATAGATACGTAGTTATGTAATCTTAACATTTTTTTTTTAATTCGTTGTCGGATAATAATAAAATTATATTCTTTTGGTGATTTTTTTTATAGAAAAAATAAACATTTTATAACACCTACCGAACATAGAAGTGATATTTTTTTAAATTTATATTTAGATCAATCATAATTGTTTAATCAAAATATTTTTATATTTTTATTTCCTTCACGGAGCCATCATAATGAATAACAGCTGTGTTATTCACAGTCAGGGCCGACATATTGTTTACAATGTGTATAAGTTTTTAAAAAAGGAACAAGAAAAACACAACACAAAATCTTCGGTTTTAAATATGGTTGTTGAAGCCACTGGAGTTTTTAAAAGTAGCGTCCAAAGAATTATTAAAGAAAGAGAGAGAGTTTCCGATTTTTCATCTCCTTCAGGCAGCTCGGGAAATGTCTTTAAATCTCCCAGAAAAAAATTCTTCTTCTTTCAGTGCCTATTCGTTCCGAATATTGGCAATCATTCTGGCTATAATTATTTTATTGACTGATGCTTTAAATAGATTTGTTGTTGTTGTGGAGAACCATTTCCTCAGGTTCTTCAACCATGATATTCTCCTTCTCCCAATTCCTCGCTTTCCGAATACTTTACCCTGTAGGATTACCTTCAGTAATCTGTATTTAGTGCTGTTTCTCATTATATGTCCGAGATATTCCAACTTTCTCTTTTTAATGGTATACATCACCTCTCTTTCTTTGCCCACTCTTCGTAATACGGTCTCGTTGGTTATCTTGTCTGTCCATGATATCCTTAGAATTCGCCTGTATAGCCACATCTCGAAGGCTTCAAGTTTTTTCTCCATTGCTTCAGTTAGTGTCCAGGATTCAACTCCGTAATACAATATTGAGAAGATATAACATCGTAGGAGCCTCACTTTTATCTCCAGATTAAGATTGTGGCTTTTAAAGAGTTTGGCCATGTTATTGAATGCACTCCTAGCCTTCTCTATTCTACATTTTATTTCCTTTCCTTAAAAAAAATTAATCAGCCAAAACTCGAAAACCAACGTCGATGGTTATGAGGGAGAAATTATAAGAAAAACAGTGCATACCTTTGCAATGATTCATGGCAGCAAGCCTACAACGTCAGCTATTTACAACGCTGTTAAGAATGAGATTAATTATCAAGGTAAACTATCGTCGTTCAGAAAAGTGTTGAATAAATTAGGTTTTAAATGGCAAAAAACAAATGACAACCGAAAAATACTTAAGTATGGAAAAAACGGATATTCGAGCCAAACGAACCGAATATTTAAAAAAAAATAAAAAAATATAGAGCTGAGGGTTATAATGTTATCTACACTGATGAAACGTATCTCCACAGCAGCCATACAACATCTAAATCATGGGATGATGGTTCAAGCAAGTGTTTAAAGTCTCCTGTTGCCAAAGGTCAGCGGTTAATTATCGTACATGCAGGAGGGAAAAAGGTTTCGTTCCAAATGGCCTACTAATTTTCAAATCTGGTCAGCGTACTGGAGATTATCATAATGATATGAACCACAAAAACTTTATAAAATGGCTTCAAGAAAAGTTAATTCCCAACTTGCAGCAGAAAACCGTGCTTGTATTGGACAACGCATCCTATCATAACGTAGCCTGTGAAGTTGCCCCTACATCTTCATGGAAAAAAAGGACATGCAGCGATGGCTAACAGAAAGAAGCATTTATTTTGCAGTGACTGATACAAAACCAGAACTTTATGCAAAAATTAAATTGAATAAACCAGCACATAAACAATATGTAGTAAACACTATAATGGCGAAACAAGGACACATTGTATTACGTCTTCCTCCATATCAACCTGAACTAAATCCCATTGAAAAAATTTGGGCAGTAGTTAAAAATCATGTCGCTTCAAAGAATGTGTCGTTTAAAATGTCCGACCTTAGGCAAATAGCGGAAGAAAAATTTAACAATCTCGGAGCAGATGTGTGGAAGAATACATGTGAACACGTTATTGAAGTAGAACAGGAATACCTTAAAAAAGAACAATTAATAGATGACGTGGCTGAACTAATTATACACGTTGGCGAAGATGATTCAATTCTAAGAAATTGAAAATATAAACTTATAACCAATAATTTTGCAATAAATAATAGGGCTTTTTCACGTTTAATATCGAAAGTTAAGTTTAAAATAACAAATTAAAGCCAGTTTTTAAAAAAAAATTGAACAAAAATCATTGAAAATATAAACGAAATGCAGATAAAAATAATTTTTGTTATGCACCATGCAATTTTTTATTTATTACTCAGTCCAACACTGTAATTATTTCGACAATTTCGAAGTTGCAGTCGACGGTAGAACGTTTTAGTTTGGTTAGTATAATTCCACTTACATTAGAATCTTTCTGCCTTTACGTGAATTTTGACTCCTCCTTCGCGCAGCTACATGGTCAAGAGTGCTTGCTAGTACTATAACATGGTACTGAATGCTATACTTTCAAATGGGACAGACAGAGAGCATATTTCATGTCAACAACGGCGCTACAGTAAGCGGTGCAGTTACAATAAAAGACTTCAGATAAATTTTGTTTTTAAAGTTTTTTCTTTAAGAAAACTATTATTCTAGTTTTTCAATAGACCGAAGTACTAATAGTTTTACGTTTGAGTAATCCTTATTCTATATAATGGTTTAGTGATAGGTCTGTAACTGTACTTGAGGAACTTTTAGAATGGGTTATTACGATTTATGTCACTAAAGAAATTAATAAACCTTATTCCAATAGTCAAATAGAAGTCAAGAGCTATAGATATGTTATTTATAAGTAAAATCTTTTGTTCCCAATTTCGGGTAGACTACATAGGACATAGTCTATTGGTTAGATTTATAAATGTATAGGTTTTATTTATATTTATTAAGAACACATAATTAAAAAAATAGAAAACGTTAAATGGAGTACTATAAACAAACACCTAATGTATCAACATAATCTAAAACATTTTTGTTCGCATTCAGGAAGTCATCAAAAACTCCAGGAAACCGTCTTCGGGGAAATTCTTTAACAAAGTGATGGACAGTTTGTCGTTGCTCACCACAGTCACATTCAGGAGTAAGAGCTTTTCCCCATTTATGTAAGTTGTCAGCACTGCACATGTATTGAGGGCAGTTCAAAGTCTGGCCGTTTCTGATCGATACAGGCCATTTTGGTGTACTTCCTGTGGTGAGTCGCTCTTCCATTGTCTTCTCCAGGCGTTGGTGGGGCTGGGAATGTTCCTGATGTAAGAACGTGGCCATTAACAAAGGAGAATATCTTAACCGTGGATTTGTCTATATTCTCTGAAAATGACTCCTTTGTAGTTTCGGCGGTGGGATGTGACTCACAATGGGAAGCCAATAGTTCGGTGTTGGTCTAATTGTACCTAAGATCATTCGAATTGTCTGGTTTAATTAGGTGTCAACAATCTTCTTGTGTTTGCTATTGAGCCATACCGGGGAAGCATAATCAGCTGCCGAATATACGAGTCCGAGAGCGGATGATCTGAGTACGGAGGTTAAGAAACCTCGTGTGGTGCCATGTAGCTTTTGAATTATATTATTTCGCGTTTTTAGTTTTGCTGTCGTTTTTTTAAACTTAAAAGTTCTCTCAAGAGTTACTCCAAGATATTTTAGTGTTGACGTATGAGTCAGTAGTCTGCTTTGAAAGTGATTGTAAATTTTTTTGTTATCTTGGGCATTATTTGAAGCAAAATAATACGCTTTGGTTTTCGTTGCATTAGGTCGTAGCCTCCATCTGCGGAAGTATTCTCCCATAATGGCAAGGTCAGTATCGTTTCTGTAACATCCATGTTATAATGTCTCGCTCCAATGGTCCAGTCGTCAGCGTAGCCAAATTTCTGCGAAGTCGTCCTAGGCAGGTCCACGGTGTACAAAATAAACTGTAAGGGAGCCAAAACAGATCCCTGCAGCAGTCCACTACTGAGCTACATTTTTACACTTTTAAAATTGCTTTTTGTGACTTGAAAAATCTGTCGGTGAGCATGCTATCAGTGAGTTTAGATATTTTTTGACACGAAATGGCACGAAGCAGTCTGTT